TCCCGGGACGCCTCTCTGACCTCTCTTGAGGCCTTTTGGAGGCCTCCTGGGAGCGCGTGGAGAGCCGTCCACAGGGTGTTTTGGACTGCTTGGGAGCGTCTTGGGCTGTTCTTTGCGTTCTGGGAGCTTCTTGGGGTCGTCGTGAGCTGTCCTTCGGCGTCTTGGGGTCTCCCCAAGAAGCCGGGAGGCGCGGTAACGGCCAGATGTCAGGGGATGTGCAGGACCCCCCGGGTAGGAGTTCCACTTCGAGAAAAAAAATTAGAATTCTTGTTTTGGTTTGTTCAAAATCCTCGATCTTTGAAGGCTGGAAACGGGAAAACGTGAGAAGACGGGAAACATTGGTTGGAACATGGGAAAATAACGATTTTACCCTCTTTGGGCTCTCTCTTGACGGCTCTCGCAGCTCTCTTGGGCTGTTCTCGGAGCCTCGTCGAGGTCTTTTTGGGGCCTCTCAAGGATCGGAAGTGTGTTGGGGGCCTCTGGGTGGTCCTGGAGGCCTCTCGGAAGTCTCTGGAAGCCTCCTGCTCCCGCTCTTGGGCTCATATTTGGCCTGTTCTGGGGTGGTCTGGGGCTGTCCTGGGCGCCTCTTCGGCAGTCTTAGAGCCTTCTGGCCCGTCTTGGGGCCGTCCTGAGGGTCTCTTGGGTGGTCTTGGGGCGGACTTGTGGGCCTCTTCGGCGCTCTTGGACCGTTGGAAGCTCGAACACGCGAGAAGCCAAAAACATAGAAAAAAACATACGAACATATGCGATTTTGGCCTCTTCGGGCCGTCCCAGGACGCCTCTTGGACCTCTCTTGGGGTCTCTTGGAGGCCACCTGGGAGCCTCGACAGCCGTCGGAAGGCTGAATTGGGCTGCTTGGGAGCGTCTTGGACCATCCTTTCGCATTCTGGGGGCTCCTGGGGGGCGTCTTTTGCCCTCCTGGAGCGCTGTGGAGGCTCCCCGGAAAGGCCGGGGGAGCGGAACGGGAGCGTTCCCGAGATGTGGCGGGGAGGTGTGGGACCCGGGGCCGGGGGGGGGACGGATTTTACTTTTATATATAACTGTATACAGTACAGATGTGTGTTAACTAGCGTGGGCCCCAGACAGCACGCTCTTGACATTCATGCGGTGCAATCTATGTTGTGCAATTCACTTAGACTGTCTTGAAGCTGTCCTCTCCACTGTTCATGCAAACATCCCACCCTCCCACCCGCAACTTGGCCGCAAGACCTCTTAAGACCGTGACGGCAGGTACCAAATGGCACTTGGCAACGACACCGACACCGACGACGACTCCGACGACTTCGACGACGGCGACAACGACGACGACGACACAGACGCCGACGACGACGACGACGACGCCGATGCCGACGACGACGATGATGACGCCGACGGCGACGACGACGACGACGACGCTGACGACGACGATGCCGACGCCGACGCCGACGACGACGACGTCGACGTCGCTAACGAAGACGACGACGACGAGGGAGGAGGGAGGACGACGACGGCGACAACGACGACAAAGACGAGGGAGGAGGGAGGACGGCGACGACGCAAACGACGAAAAAGGAGGATGGCGACGCCGACGACGACAACGACGAGATAGGAGGGAAGACGACGACGACGACGACAGCGACGAAGTAGGAGGGTCGACGACGCAACGCCGACGAGCTACGACGACGACGAGGGAGGAAGGACGACCACGGCGACAACGACGACGGAAACGACGACGACGCCAAAGAAGACGACGACGACGAGGGAAGTCAAAGGACGACCACGGCGACGACGACGACGACGACGACGGAGGAGGGAGGACGGCGACGACGACGACGACGACGCAAAAGCGCGCGCACGCTTTTGTTGAACATCCGTGTTGCGAAACCCTGTGTTTTTGTATGTTTTTTGGGCACTCGATTTTGAAATCCTACCGAAACCGAAGGTTTGTGACGGATTTCGGCATGCGCGCGCGACGACGCGCGCGCGTGCACTTCGTCCCGTTTTTTGTGTAAAGGATTCTCGCGACGGCACGCGCGCAAGGGCGTTCCAACGATTTCGACATGCGCGCGCGCGAAGCCCGTTTGGTAGAATTGTCTGAACATGTAGAGCAACCTATGGTTGTCTTAGGAGCGCGCGCGTAAGCTTGTTTAGAAAATCCGTGTTGCGAAACCATGTGTTTTTTGCATGGTTTTTGGAAACTCGATTTTGCAATCCTTCCGAAACCGACGGTTTTTGAAGGATTTCCGCATGCGCGTGCGACGACGCGCGCGTGTGCACTTCGTCTCCTTTTTTGCAAGGGATTCTGGACAACCTATGGTTTTTGATGAACGAGTATGCGACACGGGCGGCGACGGGCGGGGATGGCGGCGACGGGCGGCGACGGCGACGGGCGGCGGCACGGCGGCGATTTTGCGGCGAGGGTCCTGAGATGGTTAACCGAAGTAAGAAACCCTAGTGCTGCAAGTACTGTTTGGGAAATCTGTATATGTAGATCCATGCTTGCGCATACATATGTATCATG